TGTGTTCTAACATTCACTTAAGTGTTCATACTTGATTTCTGTTTTAAAAAAAAAAACACACCTGCAGACCATGCAATGCCACAAATGACACTAAATACAAGACTTTATGAAGTTACTACCTGGAAAGCAAAATTTGAAAAACTTAAAAACAAAAGCAGTAAACTAGATATATGTACATGTGCATGCACACATCTGACACGAGGGCAATTAAGATGGAGTAAAGCTTGTGGAACTATATGGTTAAGACTTTTTTTCTAAGTGAAATAATATTAAATTGCAGTTATAGTTGAGAGCAAGTTGTACCTTCAAGGAAAATATTACCAGAATTAGAAACAGAAAATGAAGAGGATAAAAAACAAAAACATTATGTTTATTGCACAATACTTATTTTACAATTTCTTACTACAAAAATTTAGTCAAATAGCACATAAGAGTGCAAAGCAGAAGTTTGACTAATTAGCACTTCCCACTCCCAGGACAAGTTTAAAGTATGAAAATGCACAATTAAGGAAATTGCAGACCTATAGTTTATATGAACTATAAGGTACAGAACTATAGTTCTATAACCTGAAAGATCAATTAAAATTTAGATCAAACATTCTCATGCATTAACAACTATGGTGGTTGCATGGTTCATCATCCTTTTTAACAGCTGAAGGTGTAGCAAGCTCAGATCACACAGCCTTTGACACTTCCCTCACTTTTCCCTTTGGGGATATTTTCATACACAGTCAAATTATCACTCAGCTGCTCTCAAAAGAAATAAATATAATAAGAAGAATTGCTTGTATGGAAAAGGCTGGATCTGGATCTGCACATACACTAAGCCCTCAGCTAAAGGCTCAGTCTAGCAGTGGGTAAATCCATGATAGTAGGGGGAAAAGGTCTGCCCAGACCTTGGAGAAAAGCCTGCAAGTGATGCACTTGGCAAAATCTCTTAGAGTGACTGCAGTTGTTATACGAGGCATATGAAAGTGACTCTTATTTTTAACTAAAGAGAACTGAAAGCTTTAACCATACAAGCCTACAATAAACAATATATGTACACTTCCATTATGAGCTCTCTGTTTGTAGGCTGGTCACACACGCACACAAAAACACATGCAACTGAGATTTACTGAATTTTATTCTGGATCCCCAAAATCACATGTCTTGCCATGTCAGAGATGCTCAGCAGGAAACCCAAGTTTTGGGACCTGGGATAAAACTCTTCAAATTTGGTTAATTCACCACTCCCAGAGGAATGGTATAGATGATGAATTATAGGTAGTAAGCCATTTCCAATGTTTGGACTATGTATTTTGCTTCCAAAGTAATTTTTTTTAAATCTGTAATGAAGAAAATTTAAGCACAAACTGTACGCACTGAGGCTTCTTATATGAGAATTACATGACTACACAAATGCATGTTTATTGTACAATTTCTTACTACAAAAATTCAGAGTAAAATAATTAGTCAGACTTGCTTTGCACTCTTTACTACATGTACTAATTGCTAAAGTAGAAGATAATTCTTGAAACTAACTGACAGGTGCCATGGAAGACATTGGCCAATGCCTTCTAAGCTGAGCAAATTCTATTGTGATTTAGTACATCTGTACATTTAGAGGTAACTAATAAATGACAAATTAGCCCAAGTGTCTTGTGTACAAATTAATAGGACTCTGGGGATTCAATGCACTAATAAGACCATAATTATGAATTATCCCAGTAACTAACTAAATACATTTCACTGTACTTTAAGTTTTGAGAACACAAACAACAGCAGCCCATGCCCTGAGGATCTTACAAATGCCCCAGTTTGTAAGCCATTTAAGGTTTCTGTGACCTATACAAAACCAATTAACTTTTATGGGGCTCCATGAAGACACAGCATGCCACCTGTGCTGATTTCAATGCTGGTTTGGGCCAGAAACAATGATGAGAGTAAACTGGGAGGGAATAGACTTTTTTTTTTTTAATTTTTTGGGCCCTGCTGTCTTCTCTTCACCGCTAATGTAACATAAAAAGCAAGAAGGCATTTGTAGACAGCATTCCATACACTAAGGATTGGTACAATGCTTTATAAATAAGCAAAGAATAAGTGTCTCTTATTTTAAAAGCACTTTCATGAAGTATTTTGCTATACTATAGGTAATGTTTCTAATCCAAGCTTATATTCATCTTCAGAATCTACCATCTAGTGTTTGAAATAAGACTTCAGTTCAATTTTTGCAAAAAGGTATAAGTCAAAGTGCCAAAACTGCTGACATTTCTTTATGCGTGGTAGACATACACAAGATGAAAGGTACAAAAGCTTATAACACTATTCAGATTTCCTGGCCTAAAAGTGAAAATACCCAATGCATCTTGCACAGATTTTATTCAAACTATCAATAAAAAATACCTTAGCAAGTGATCTTACAATAGGGTTCTCCATAATTCCTTTGAGGAAAATAAGGTCTATTTCTTCAGCTCCTGTTGATGTGGGTAGATCCGTAAGGTTATCCAAAACCTGCTGCATGGCTGCTGATGAAAAGAAGTATAATGAGCAATGACCCAAAGTACTCTAGACAAGTCTTTAAAAAAAATCCCAATATTTATAAAATAACTCAGATATGTAGAATTACTGATACAACTTCAGTTGCAATGGAAGAATTACTATAGATGTTTTGTACTGCAGATTGGAATAGTAAGGCAACCAACAGGTTATCTACATTGACAAAAAAGGGGGCAGAAAACTATGTTTTTTACATTTTTTTTAATCAATATTAATCCTTTATATTGGGCTTTGAAATAGGCCTTTCTTCAGATGCTTATTATATTTTTATGGCAGAAATGCACAAGCGAGGATATGCTTGCTATATATTAGATCCTTAAAGATAAGGAAGTGTGTTTTCTTCCCCCTTTAAAATTAGTCTATTAAAGCATTCATTTAAAAATAAGCTTCCATATACTATTAATGGAACATGCATTTATGGCTGTTTTCCTTCCATTTCTCTTTCACAAAATATTTTCAAACCCCCTGTGCACTCATACATATTTTGCAGGTGCAAATACTTGTATTTGTACCTAAATACTTGTATGTGTGTACACATCAGAATTTTTCAACTGCATGCATGTGATTTCAAATCTTTTACAAAAAAGTCTATTAAACTACTATGTTGTAGGCTGCATAAAGGACATGGTAAGAGTCAGAAAAACGTACATTCCTCCCACAAAAGAATGTGCTCTAAACTTGCATTATTTCTTCATGACTTTCCATAATAGCTTTCATTATGAAACAACAATGTAACAGAATGGATGGTATTTAAACACCTACATTCTGATATCTTTCCTTCCTAGAAAATTCCATTTCACAAAAATATTTTCTGGGCATTCTTCATCAAATAGAATTTTTGAACAATCAAATGCTACCCTGAAGTTAAAATAAGGTACAATACTTTATGTCAAATAACTTCTACAAATACAAAATGCTTTCACCATACTTTGTATTAAAAGCACCCCCACTTCAAGTGAGTTCTTCTTGAAAGCATGAGTAGGAAGGAAATGACAGTTATATTATACTTTCATAGAGTGACAGCATTATGTTTTTGCCGTCTTTGACAGATACAATGTTGACAATCAGATTGTGAGGTTTATGGTGCATACTGTACTTTAACCATTGAAACAACATTATTATAAAGGACCAGAGTATATATAGTCTAAGAGATGCCTGTTAAATCTCTTCACTGGTTCCAGTTTAGGTTCCATGTAACCCTAACTGCCAGTCCCAATTTCTGAATTGTTAACTATACAACCAAAGATTTATCTTTTTAATGCTGAAATGAATGTAGCATTTCCAGAACTACAAAGGTGCCTCTGAGCTGCATTTTATTAGGCAATGATAAGCTCACAAATGTTAAAACACACACTTTCTCTGCGGTACTCAAATTCCATCTCTACCATTATAGTTTCACGATTCATGTTTCTCCTAAGATTCAGTACTTATTCTACAAAATCCTGACAAACTATGCCAGAGAAAGTAAATTACAGCCAATTTCCCTCTTCCCTCTCTTGAAATTCTTAACTTAATTTTTGCCATAAAAAATGAGTTGAATTTTACTTCACTTACATTCAAATCAATATTTACCAACCAGGTCATTTCCCTTTTATTGTTAAAAATTTCATATAGATTCATTTTGAAAGACTAAAAGCAAGTTCTCTTGTTTCCTTGCAAAGGAACCTGGAGAAAATGAACACAAACCCTCCTTCAGGTTAAAGCATGTATCCCAACCCTAGCATTCAATTCAGCACTGCATGTCAGCAAATTCATGCATAATAAATATATTCCACGCATCTGCATTTTAATAGAGCACTCTCTCCAACTGAAAGGATTAAATTATTCAAAATCATTACAACTTAAAATAAATGGTCTTTCTCCAGTCAAAGCATTACAACAAGTAGAAAAACATATAAAATACTCCGATCAAAACTTAACATGTGTAAACCTCAAACAGCTTCTCTTATATAATATCCACACACACAGCATAATGTCAGCTATACAAAACTTTACCCATTTTAAAGTTTTGTGCATGTAGACAGGAATGTTTATGAATGAATTAATTTATTAATATGGCTCTCAAATTCTTGTGTCTGGCCATTATACCGTTATTAGCATTCCTGGCAAGCTACAAAAGCCAACTCCCCCACACAATTCACAAAAGTAATCCCCACATTCAAGCAAATAAAAGTAATATGCTAAACCAAGGAACACTTTAACCTGTTTTATTATCCAAGTCCAAACAATATTTTACAACTGCTATTCAGAAAAATTCTCTATGTCCCTCAAATACTGTCTGCATTATTTTTCAGGAATAACTAAATTTTTTTTATGGAGTAAAAAGTCCTGATGGACTGACAGTCACAAATCTTCCAAGACAAAGAACAATATTGAAGAGTATGATAAATTAGGATCAAAATACTCTATATTGCCCATCTTGGATGCACGCTCATACATAGATAATTTAATTAGGGATGTATGGTGAGTTGCATACTTCTTCTCAATCTGACAAGGTAAGGTTTTGTTAAAGTAGCTGGAAGTGTCTTTTATACAATTATCCATCTTGTGTGTCCACAACTGAGAAACTCTGTAATAAATAAAGTAAAATATTTGGATCTGAAAGAAAAAAAAATCTTCAATCTGACAAATGGTTAAGAGTGGCTCCCATCCCTGCTTTTCCTGACTATGCCTAGAGACGGAAGTTATATACAAACCACTATGGCTAGGGACAGACATTGCACAAACTGGTTTAAGTTATTAGAAACTGGTTTAAACCTGTAACAGCAGATGTTCAGTGCACATAAACCAGTTTGAAAATGGCTGAAACTGGTTTGAGATAAACCTGGGTGACTGTAGTATCAGACTTAACTGATTTGGGTCAAACTAGTTTATGCAATGTCTGTCCCAGAGCCCTTGCAGGTTTAAGATAAATCATACTCCCCCACCATCCTGGCATGCTCTCTGGGTTGGGCTGGACTACCTGCTCCACAGCTAGGCTGGCCCATCCCCTCTGCTCCCTGGCTGGAGCTTGGCAGAGACTGCAGGCATCTGCCTGTCTTCCATGTCACCACTCCTTGCTAAGCAGGGATTCCACCATTTCCTCTGCCTTACACAGACACACAGCATTAGCTAGCAGACCACATGCTGGCTACGGTCCGTGCTGTGGCAGACAGGACAAAGGCAGAATCAACAGGTAGCTGGTAATGTCCCTCTGTTTTCTTAATGGAAGGATAAACACTGAGTTATGGATGATGAACACAGTTATCAGTTCCCTGCTGGGCTGCTCCTGAGGTGGGGAGGGAAGGGAAACCCCTCCCTAATCAAAGCATGCTGTGAGGTGTGTCCACTGGCCAGGCCTCCCTCAAATCAGCACTGTAGAAGGGAAGGGAGAGCTGCTCTAGCACCCCCCAGCTTTTAACCTGAGCCACTGCAGGGATGTGCCTGCATATTTTTTTTTTTTTTTTAGTCCAGAGGGGTTGTTTGTTCAGTTACAAACTGGTTTAGCCTAGCAAGATTAGACTAACCTGCAAAGATTGAATCAATTCAGGCTCAGGCTTTTTGACTGTCTGTCCCTAACCTTTTATCAAGTAATCAAACTGGTTTAAACTTTTAACAGAAGTTCAGTGCACATAAACCAGTTTCAAAATGAGTGAAACTAGTTTAAGATAAATTTGGTTGAATATAGTATCACACTTAACTGATTTGGGTCAAATTGGCTTATGAAACTTCTATCCCAGACCCTTTTCTGGTTCAAGTTAAGTCACAGTCCCCCAGCATCCCATCATGCTTTCTAGACCTGAGCTGGGCTGTCTCTTCCAGCAGAAAAGGGTTGTTTTTTGGTTTGTTTTTGGTTTGTTTTTTTGGGGGGGAAGGGGGGATGTAGGGACTGTTTCCTTCCCCCCCCCCCCCCCCCAAGGGCAAACCTGGGCTAGGGTCTGGGGCCAAAGAGGGGGAGTTAAACTTCATTTCCCCTGAGTACAGAGCTCTCCTGCCCTGCTAAAAACTTACTGCTGGCTGCCACTGTGAACTACGTATCCCAGAAGCACCTGGAAGCAGGAAGCAGCAATGAGCAACCCTGTAGAATCCTGCTGCTGTGGTTCTGGACTGCAAATCCCAGAGACTTCAGGGGCAGCAAGAAGAAAAAGTGAACACACAGGCCCATGCCGGTTACATGCCAGAGAGCCATGCCCTAGAGCCCCCCAGCTTCTGGCCTAAGCCACTGCAGGTGTGTAGCTGCATTTCCTAAATCAAAAGTGAATGTCTGTCCAGTTGTTCCTTAATCTCTGCAGTTTAGACTAACCTGCAAAGAGTGAATAGATTCAGCCTTGTGCTTTTTGACTGTCTGTACTTAGCCTGTGAGTTCAGGTGCTCAGGTTGTTTTTCACCTGTACAAACTATTCCAATTATCTAATGAACTCTTCCATGCTTTGTACTTAACTGCTATGGGGTAGAGATCTGTTAAACTAAAAAGACTTGGTCTCTGTGTCTCTGTCAATAACTTGCACTTGTACACTAAGAATTATGGCACTTTGCTTACAAAGCCAGTCCTAATGAGTTCAGTAGACAAAGTGACATGAATAAAGTAGGTGGGATCTGGCTCAACCATGAGAATTAGTTTCATAGGTGCTTTAAGTTTAATCTTGTTGTTTAAACTTGTTTTTAGAATTCATGTAATTATGCATGCCTCATTAGTCTGCTCCAAACCTAATTTATTTTCGACATTCTCCATGCTCTTACAGACAGAGTACCAAAATATATCCGTGCAAGTGATAAGGACTTTCATGACTTAAAGAGAGCACGCATGAGATAAAAGTGCATTTTAGAATAAGTTACTCTATTTTAACCGTTTGAATCTTAAACTGTACTTAATTTTAGTCAAATTTATTACCGTTTCCCCTTTCAACTACCTGTATTTTTTTTAAGGAAAAAAAATTACAAGAGTCATGGAACCTGGATGGAACAGAAGATGTGCATATATAGTATT